CGCATGCCATAACAGAAGGATGAATACTTCTGTGCCAGGAGGGCCTATTTCAAAGCTTCTGCATCTTCCTATTGGATAGCACCACCCCTCAGTTGACTGTGAGACTATAAAGAGTAGGTATAGATAAAGTTGAATCTATAAATATGCTGCTTAATAACTGGAAGCATAAGCATACTAATCTATAGGCTGAGGCACATGTCCATACAGAAGCAGAGGAAATCCAAATTACAAACCCACTAACACTTACTTGTGGCACATAACCAGAATTACATCTGAAATTGGCAGGTTGAGGTGCTCCATTTATCAGAATTTCTCCTGATAATCCACGTGGATCTTTCCTTGCCGCTAAGACATCTAACAGCCTATAAAAGGGCATCTACATTTTATTTCTTCCCTTCAACACAAGCCACATCTCTCCCATACACAGATCCAAATTCTGCACATGACAGAAAACTAAATAGACAAGAAATCAATGGTTTAACGAAAACTACGCGCGCGCGCGCACACACACACACACACACACACACACACACGTGTGAATGCCATTTTTCCATAATGTGCTATAAGAAAGCCCCATATTATAAAGGAAAGACATGATCCGCATACCTTCCTGCTATCTCACTTTGTCAGACTCAGGTTCGGTGCTACTTAATCTTGAGGATGAAGGCTGGGGATGCTTACTTCCTCACTTAGACAACTTCTGTTTCTTCTCCCTAATTTTAATATTATCATCTTCTTTTCCCTTTCCATTAAATAATATTATGAATCAACACTCTTTGCCAACTAAGTTGTCACATCCTATCAACAAAGTGGAACTAGTAAGATGCCCTAGGCCTTGGAAGCAAACTAAAATGTATCCAAACTGCATATTATCCACACTCCAGACTAGACATGCACACACTCAATTGCTTAAACAACACCTTCACAAGTGACTCTTGGCTGATTTTTTAAAGCACACAAACTGGACACTAAAGGTTTACATACATTTTACATATATTTCCTGTCATACTCACAAGGACCTGCTTCCATCTTCAGGTCCCATAATGGCATTGAGGCCAGGTTTCATGAGACCACTGTAAACACAAAAACATACTGATATTAACTCAGGGTCCACATTCCATACGCTCACTGAAGTCTGATTGAATTTCAGCTACTTAAATGGACTTAAAAGCCACTCAATGGGAGGAAATTCAAGTGTGGCACAGTAAACATAGAAAAATACACATGGCTGGAGAGGTCATAGATCTTAAAGAAAACCCTAAGACTGTCACATCCCTAGACAAATGTATATGTTAAATGTGGATCCTTATATTTCCAGAAAAGTATGTCAATCACCACTTATCAAAGATGCTTCTTTTGCAACTGATATTACAGAGTTCACAACTGGTCACACACCGAGAATAAGTGTTTGTGAGGTACCCAACCCTAAGGGACACATCTACAGTGGATTCTCTACACCTAAGGCTCTTGAAACATAGTGGAACAAGGGTCAGAGAGAATAATAATGCAGATCTCAACTCTTTTTGGGGAAACTTCCTCATGAAACAGGACATTGAACTGAAAGGGCCACAAGTGGACAAAGTGCAGAATATGAGATTACAGAATGTGGGTCCCTAGACAGGACTCTTTCCTTATGGTCCTGCACCCAATTAAGGTTCAGAGACCATTATGGAAAAGAGGGAGGAAAGATTGTAGGAGACAGGGAGGAAGTGCAGGACCATAAGGAAAGAGTCTTCCAGGGTCAGGAACCTTGCTTATATGAACTTACAGCAATGGTGACAGCATGGGAGAAACCCATGCAAACTTGAACAGACAAAAACCAAGCACAGAACTGGGAATATGGGCAGCAGGCCCCAACCTTAGCCAAAGAAGTATTGGTAGCTGGGTGAGGGAGAGCGGATCTTCTCTAAGGGAGAGACTTTATATAGGCTGACCAAAGCCCAGTGGATGAATTTGTTATGAACTTACAGCAATGGTGACAGCATGGGAGAAACCCATGCAAACTTGAACAGACAAAAACCAAGCACAGAACTGGGAATATGGGCAGCAGGCCCCAACCTTAGCCAAAGAAGTATTGGTAGCTGGGTGAGGGAGAGCGGATCTTCTCTAAGGGAGAGACTTTATATAGGCTGACCAAAGCCCAGTGGATGAATTTGTACTGAGGGCAGCCTGGGTACACTCACTTGACCTGATAGAGCTTAAGATATATGACAGAATTCATGAAATCTGGTGGTAGGGGGGTT